AAAAAACTTGAAAAACTATAAGTGCAATTTTAAAAAAATATTTTTTAATTCTAATTTAATAAATAAAAAATAATCAAAAAATTAAAAACGTCGGCTAACTTTAGTATATTATTTAGTTGTTTAAAAAGTCCAAAAAATTGACATTGTGTTTTTATTTCTACATAATTTTTTTTAACAATGACATATTTTAACTTGTTAAAAAAATAACTTTTTATTAATAACTATTAAACTAGCCGACACTTCTCTATTTTTTAATTTAATTAAAAAAACTTAATTAATTTTCTATGAAAATTAATTTAGCATATATTTAATAATTTTTAAAATTTTATAACAAATAAATTATAGCAAAAAAAAAATTGACATGTAGAAATTTAAAAAAATAAAAAATGCAGTTTTTTAGAAATAATTTTTTGGAACAAATTTTTTTGATGAATAAAATTAAAAAATTGTTAAGTGTCTGCTAACTTTAATGTCATTAATTTTCTTTATAATTTTCACTTATTTATAATTTTTTATTAAAAAAAAATTTTACTGAAATTGACAGATGAAAATTAAGTTAGCCGACATTTAGAAATTTTTAGTTTTTTTTATTGAAGAAATGATTGTAAAAAAATAAAATAAAAAAAATTTCACTTGTAAAAAACTTTAAAACCTGTAAGTGCAATTTAAAAAAAAAAATTTTTTTGTTCTAATTTAATTATTAAAAAAAAAAAAATCAAAAAATTAAAATTGTCGGGCTTACTTTAGTATTATAATTGACAGATAGAAATTTTTTTTTAAATTTCATAGTAAGAAGTCATTATGAAAAAAATTTATTTAAAAAATACCATTTGTAAAAATTAATAAAAATTATTTAAATCACTTTTTTATTACAATTTACCAAAAAAAAAAAAAACTAAAAAAAATGTAGTCAAAAAACATGAAAATGAAGGTGGCCGACATTTCAAAACTTTTTATAAAGTTTTTTATTAAGTAAAAATTTTCTAATTAAATAATTAAAAAAAAAATTTCACATGTAAAAAACTTTAAAAACTACAAGTGCAATTTTTTAGAAATATTTTTTAGTTGTAATTTAATTAATAAAAAAAAAATCAAAAATTTTTAGACATCTGCTAACTTCAGTGTCATGTCAAAAACAGCAGTAGTTTGAAATTTGCACTACAGCGCGCTCTGGCGGATAATTTCCGAACTACTCTTGCGCTTGACAAAGAAAAAGATAGCAGATGTGTGTATGTATTGAAAATAACTTCTAAATATTATATGGAGAACTGTAAACTCTCTATCGTTCAGTCATCAGTTAACGACTCAAACAACGAAATTTGCGGGTTCGAAATTTGCTCATCCTCCCGTTGGCTTCGTAACAAACTACAGTGTTACTTTCCAGTGTCTAGTATGTAAGTACAACGACAATTTAATTACTCCTAATAGACTCATTGTTGACAACTCAGCTCGTTACATTTATTGTTAGTCATTTTATTACTCAGCTATCCTCTGCTATCATTTGTCAACTAGGTGATATCAATACCAATAGGTTATAAATTAAATTATATATTATCAAGAGTATAGATATTTAATATCTAAACATTAATATATTTATTTCAATAATCATAATTTAATTATCTCTAATGTTATTATTTATTTACATAACTTTTTTTTTTTTTTTTATTTTTTTTTTTTTTTTTTTTTTCAGCTGGTCTGATATGTCAAATCCTGCTGACCGTTCAAATTATCTTCAAGACAGCAGTAGTGATACTGAGACTGATTGCAAGGAAACTGATGGACGTGGACGATTACGCGTTTGTAAAAATAATTTGAGGTAATTTTTTATTTATTTATTTATTTATCATTTTTTATTATAAAAATTAAGCTGTCATAAATTTTTTATTTTTTTAAATTTAATCCTGCAATTTTTTGACTTAGTATTTTTTTATTAATTATTTATTAATAATTAATACTGAAAAAAATTTTTTTTATTTCTTTTTAAATAATTAATTGAATAAAAAAAAATTTTTGAACTTCAGTATTAATTCTTTGACTACTGTCAAAATTTATTGAGCAAAAACTCTGGGTATTATAATTAAAAATATTACAATTAATGACGCAATTAAAATTATTTATATAGATTGTCGATGAATTAATTTATTAATAATAGATAGTTAATAGTGGATTGTTAGAAGCAGTCGTATAATTAAAGTGTAAGGTAAAACATAATGCTTGCACGTAGTTTAACTCCTCCGACACTCAAGTCTTGTTTGGTAACTCAGAAGCAACAGAAGATGGAGATTAACAATAAATCTGGATGTAGTGTTATTCGTAGATGTCGGTCATGTGATTTTGGTGAAGGAGATAAAAATTATTATCAGAGTCTAAGGTAAAACAAAATACGCGGATGATATTGAAGTTATTTGACAACTGTCAATTTTTAAAATTCATATAATTAATTATAATAATATAATAAAGTACCCAGTACTTGAACACTTATAAAAATGGAACCAGTATTTAAACATACTTTTTGAATTGTTATAATACAAAATCCGTATATTTATTATGAGTAATATGCGCATGTTATAAATTAATTAATGATAAAGTAATTGATTCCTGTAAGTATTTTCAATTATAAATCAAAACAATTATATTTTTGTTAACTTAAAAGTTGACATGTCGAGAATAGCCGATAGATGCTATTTTTTTCATGAAAAATTTACTAAATCGTAAACCGAACAATTAGTAAAAAAAACGGTATATCATCATTTTAAGTAGAAAAAATTGTACCACCCAATGAAATAGTCTTTTCTAAATAATACGTATTTTTAGCAAAGACAAACTATAATTTTTATATTAAATTTTAGCATCTAACTATACCTTCAAATTTTCAAAGCGGTACCCAGAAATTGAACAAGAAGGGCCGTATAATTTTAACAGCACTCTTACCTCTAATAGGTTTATAGACTAATGATCAGCATTGTGATTTGTATTAATTACTGCAAATTAAATAAGTTTTGTAGCTAAAAATGAGTGTAGAAAATTATTGAACGTTTTGTTTTGAATTGAGTTTTTTTTTTATTTATAATTGAAAATTTGCTTTGTCATTCATAAAAAATGTAATTAAAAAATTACATACAAATATTCATCATTTTTAAATGAACATATTAAATATTCACAGTATTATTTTTAATATTATTCAATAATTCAATAATACACTACTGGAAAAAATTAAGGGATCAAAAAAAAATTCCAAATTTTTCGGTAGTTTTCAACAGGCCGTAACTTTGAGAGAAATGGTCGTACAGGAAATAAAAAAAAAAAAGGAAATTGTAGCAACAAAAAAATTCTCAAAATTTTTTTAGTTTTTTTTTTTTGGTCTACGGGCGTGGAAAAAATTTTTTCAGCTTAACCACTATAAGGATCGGATACTTTGTTCATTTAGCTTTAATTTCTTTTTTTAAACATCCTGATACGTCCACTCCTCGCTGAGATATCGGTCTTCAAATAGAAAAGGATCTTTTTGTCTTTGATTATCGATATCTCAGCAACCAATGATCTCACAGAAAGTTAAAGGTGGGTTTCAAGAACTTGAATGAATTCCCCTTAACGACTGTTCATTGCTTTTTCGAAAAAAAAATTTTTTCTTTTTGTCACATGAATTTGAAAATGCAACAAAAAAAGGGCTTTTGGTGGTTTTTTGGAAAATCAAGCGCTGGATCGAAAATATTGAGGAAACCACTAATGTTAAGTGTACCTTTTACAGTTCAATATGTCCACAAAAACCCTACAAAGAATCAAATTAATCCAGCCAGCCGTTTTTTTGTTTCACTTGATCGAATTTTTGAAAAAATTAAAGGATCACGTTTTTTGCTCTGAAAAGCTCATAATTTTTAAAAATGAGAAAAAAAAATTGTTTTTCCGAGCTTTTTCCACATTTTTGTTCCAGAAAGTGCTTAAATTTAAAAAAAAAAATTCAAAAAAAAAATTTTTTTCTCTTGAAAAGTTTGAGAAAACAGTATTTTTTTAACAAGTTAAGGAAATTCAAGAAACCATCGCCCAATGATTTTTATCACCTTTCCGCCGCTGCATTCCTTGATTCTACTGATCTCCTTTTAATTAAATTAATAAAAAAAGTTAATACCCCCAATCGAATTTCGATTTTTTTCATACGTTTTTCGGAGATTTTTTTTCTTTTCTTTTCGTGAATCTTTAGCAAATCGCTTGATTCAACAGTTTTTTTCAAAACTAATCCCTCTGCGTTAAAAAAAATTTTTTTTAACTTTTTGGTCAAAATTGAAAATTTCTGACTTTTTTGATTTTTAATCATGGTTAGACGACATTTATCGGAAGTGGAAGTCGCTCGGTTAGTGACTCTTATTGATGAAGGTTACACTCAACATGCAGTTGCCATCCGGATGGGTGTAAGTAAATCTGTCGTATCTCGAGCTTATACCAGATACCAAGAGACGAATCAATATCATCGTCGCCCCGGACAAGGTCGCCATCGAGTCACTAATGCCCGCGATGATCGGGCAATCGTTAGAGAATTTCGACGACAACCTTTCGTCAATGCGAATATTGTTGCTCGAAACTTCCCCAATCGCAGACAACAGCAACAACAACAGCAACAGCGACGACGGCATCAAGTGCGAAACATTTGCTCTCGAACAGTCATCAACCGTCTTCGTGAAACTGGGTTACACGTACATGTATGTTATAAATCTAAGGATATTTCAATAAAACGTGAAAATTTTTGGTGTGTCTATTGCCATATATTTTATTAGTTCAATTACTACTCCTTCGAAAGTCTATCTCAAAAATGTTGTCAAAATATAAATATTAAATTATCTTTATTATTTTGCGCTTCATTCAATTAAAAATTGTTTTCATTTTCATTAAAATCACTAATTTTAACTTATAATTACATCTTTATATATTAAAAGTTGGGTCAAATACGTTTTACTTTTAAACTTGTTCAATTACTGGGTACTTTACCTTACAAAAATTTCCATTAAAATTTTTTTTTAATTTTCACATGCGGATTTTTTTTTTCTAATAATTTAATTGCTACAAAATTATAAAAAAATTTTTAATTTCTGTCAACTTCAGTGTCATACGAAGGTGATATTAAAATTATCTGACTGATTTTTAAAATTCTTATAATTAATTACAATAATAAAATTTTTTAATTTTCATAAGTGGAACTTTAAAAAAAAAAAATTTTTTATAATAATTTAATTGCTACAAAATTATAAAAAAATGTCTAATGTCTGTGAACTTCAGTATCATATATAGGAGATTATTTTTAAAAAAAATTTTTTCCTAAGAACATAAATCAAAACTGATTTAACGCTTCACTCTTTACAGCCAAGGAATTGGTCTTTATAATTTAAATTTATTGTTATTGATTATTAATTATTATTATTATTACTAACTTGTTGTAAAATAAATTTGTTTAGAATGCGCCCGACAATAGGAATAGGAAAGAGTCAACCTCAAAATCACGGAAACCAGACAAGTGTGGGAGGATTGTCGGGAAATCAGCAAAGCGATGATCGCATAACGCTGATTGTCGACAACACGAGATTCATCTTGGACCCCTCGCTGTTCACCGCTCACCCAAACACGATGTTAGGTCGGATGTTCAGCTCGGGGATAGATTTCGCTCAGCCGAACGAGCGAGGGGAGTATGAAGTCGCGGAGGGAATTTCTGCGATGGTTTTCCGCGCGATCCTCGAGTACTATAAGGGAGGAATTATTCGCTGTCCGCCGACGGTCACTGTCCAGGAGCTGAGAGAGGCTTGTGATTATCTGCTGGTACCTTTTGATGCCAATACTGTCAAGTGTCAGAATTTACGTAAGGATTTAGAACAATTAATTATTTTGTTTTTTTATATTGAACTAGTTTTTTTTAATTAGTAAATTTGATTTTTAAAAGGAGGATTATTACATGAACTGTCTAATGAAGGAGCTCGCTGTCAGTTTGAAGTATTTCTAGAGGATTTAATTTTACCGCTCATGGTCAATAGTGCTAGACGGGGAGATCGAGAATGTCATATTGTTGTTTTGCTTGAAGATGATTTGGTTGATTGGGATGAAGAATATCCGCCACAAATGGGTGAAGAATATTCGCAAAGTATGTTTTTTATTTTACTTTTTTTTTTTTTTTAATTTTGATGAGTAATAAAAAAATTTAATTGAAAAGTATTGAAAATAAGAAAATTTAAATACTTTTTTATTTTTTCATAAGAAAAAAATAACATTGTTGGTTATTTAAAATTTTTTTATCAGTATTATTAATTATAAAATATAATTTTTAAAAAATTAATATGCTAAAAATGACAGATGAATAAATTAAAAAAATGGGCTGTCTGCATATTTAATAATTAATTAAATTTTGAATTAATACACTGAGTGTATAATAAAATAAATTTTTTCTCAGTAGAGTATTAAAAAATAATTTGAATATAAAGTTTTGTAAAATATAAAATAATTTACCTATAAAATAACTAGCAACCTTGCAGTCACTATGTGACTGCCGTGAATTGTCAACTATAAATAAATAAAATTTTGCTTGATTAAATAATGACTTTTGTTAAATTGCACTGTACTTTTTTAACGATTGACGTTTTTAACGATATAAGCTCATCCCGATGTGACACTCATCAAGGGTTTTCATTTGAGTACCCACATCCATTTTTTATATATTTTTCATATATACATATATATAATATATATAAATATATGAAAAATTGATGTGGGTACTCAAATAAAAGGTCTTGATGAGTGTAATACCGAGATGAGCTTATATCGTTAAAAATGTGAATAGTTAACAAGATACAAGGTCATTTCTTAATTATTGACATTTTTAACGATATAAGCTCATCCCGACGTTACATTCATCAAAAGCTTTCATTTGAGTACCCACATGCATTTTTGATATATTTTTCATATATACATATATATATATAAATATATAAAAAATTGATATGGGTACTCAAATGAAAGGTCTCGATGAGTATAATGTTGAGATGAGCTTATATCTTTAAAAATGTCAGTAGTTGACAAAATACAAGGTCATTTCTTAATTATTGACATTTTTAATAATATAAGCTCATCCCGATGTTTGATTTATCAAGAGCTTTCATTTGAGTACCCACATACATTTTTGATATATTTT